TTGAGGATTAACCATGCTTGCCTTGTACTAATTTTTAGTACATTATAGCAGTGTATTTGGAGTCTATTAAACCCCTATTATATGTTGGATTTCACACACCTAACAACAATATCTAAAGGGGGTGAACAAAATTGAAGGAACAAGGGAATGTGTGACAAAATAAGTACCAATAAGTATTTTGATCATTTATCAAAACCAAAATAGAGAATAATTCTAAGGGACATATTTTATGGAGGATACAAAATATATCTATGAAGATCTGAGTATTTTTATGAACCTTTAAATACATTTAGTGATTTTGGTGATTAGAAGTGATGAATAATATGTTTAAGCAAACAAAATTTGATGAAGCTATCAAGAAAAACTTTGAACAAGCAAAGGCAAAAATTTAAAAGCACAAGGAAAGAAGCCTAATCTTGAACAACAAAAAAATAGTTTATTAGAATCCTATAAGATCAATTATTTTAATTCCTATAAGTTTGTAACGTCCCAAAAAATAGTAGAAAGATTTTCATTTTTAAACCATTGAATCCATACAAACATTTGTTCGAAAGCCAATCAGAGTCAATTGTATTTTTCAACATCATAGTAAAACATTAATAATTAATGCGGAAAAAGTCATCAGGGGATGTTATACAATCAAGTCGGACACTTCCATTTGGAATTGGAATTACCTAAAAAATTTGAAACCACAAAACGTAAGCATAAAAGCTTAGTGAGAACCCTAAAAATACAACATACCATACACAACATGGGGAATGCTATGTGACAACTATAGTCTTTCAATCACTATCATGCCATGAGCCACCTCATGGTGTTTACTTGCCATGCTAGGGACAAAACCCAAGTCTTACAAACAAGTGCCAAGAGTCACCTCCTGGTCTTCCATGCAAGTATCACAAAGAAAACTAGCATCCTACATATAACTGTCAGGGTCCACACCCTGGTCTTGCATATAAATTGTCGAAAGCCATATCCAAGTCTTTCATATAATTTTCAGGGGCCACTACCTCGTCTTCCTACATGGTATAGTCAACTCAATTTATGAACTTGTACAACACCTTTTTGCGGATGTAACGTTCATTTCTTGCAATTACATTATTAAAACTCTAGTCAACTCAATTTATGTCTCATTCTAAATTTTGAATTGATTCGTTTGTTTTGTCAAGCAAAATGTGTCGAACTGATAAAAATGCATTAATTAGTTGACATTTGTATATTATATTTTGCTCTAAACAATGGAGTATGTTCAATTATTTTGCATTCATAGCTTTTATAGTATCTTGGGCGAGCAACACTTTGTGCTAGGTGGTATTGTTGGGGGAGGGGGAGGGGTAATTAAATTAGAGTGGCAACTCATTCCATGGAGGTAAGTGATTTATAATATCACACTATAAGAAATAGCACCTATGATGCTACAAAAAAAAAAAAAAAAAAAAAAAAAAAAAAAAAGACCTACATTGACAACATTTATCGTTGGTATAACTGGCCTATAGTGATGCCATGTAGTCACTGTAGAGTTGACCAATTCGAATATAGCATAACATTGTTCTTCACATTTTTCAACTCAAGGGATGAAGGCTTTTTTTTCGGTGGATGATTTGTCATTTTACATTTTCAAATCAAGGGATGAAGGCTTCTTTTTCGGTGGATGATTTATCATTTTGTAGGGATTAGGTAATAATTTATTTCAATTTTTTTAAACCAATGAAAACTTCCTTACCAATAAAGGGAATGAAATTTTGGTAATAATGTCTTTAAAACTTTGTCCAACAACCACCAAAACCGAAACAAACTCCACGAGACCAAGAACCTGCTCTTTAAATGACCAATTTGTTCTTCAGGAAGTTTGTCAATTTTTTTTATATTGTTATATTTGATTGGATTTTTTTTAGGTGCACCTACCGCTACATATTTATGTGTCCATACCTCATTAGTAGTTTATAATAGTCAAGTTGAAGTACAATGCTTTTGTAAAACAAATAAAGGTTTGGAGTTTACTAGACAATATATGCAATACTTAATAGAGTTGGTTAACGTAAGGGATATTATTAGTTCTTAAGAAGTGATAACGTTTTTTGAAAAGTTGTTAATACTTTGAAGAGACTTCTAAAATGTAGTTTATAAGGAAACATGTTAAATCGCTTAGAAAAACAGAGCTTTTATGAATCCTCATAAGGTTCCAAATCAGAAAAGAAAACAAACGTACACTTATAGGATTTATGAACTATAATGACAAGAGTCATCATGTTATTTTTTAGCACTTCACCAATTTAACTTATAGGATTCATGGAACTATAATGACAAGTGTCATCATGTTATTTTGTAGCACTTCACCAATTTAACTTCCACTAGTATAATACCATATTTGAATGTATGTTAGCTTAAATATGAAAAATAATCTCGTGTGTAAATTAAAGAACTATAAAAAATTGTTTTTTTAGGTAATGAAACCTAAATAATGATGTTACGATCGAAACGTAAACGGGACCTAAATGATGACAAAGTTTAATTTTAATATTGAATATGTATAAACTATAAAGCATGATTGGATTGCAAGGAAAGACGATTTGAATCTAGATTGCTACCTGGTGGAAAGGTGAGTAAATATAGATTTTTTTTTCATTTTGCGATACATATAACAAAACTATTATATCAAAATAAAGGTCACAACTCATCTCTACATCGATGAAAGTATATGTTTTTTTAAGAACTATTTGGACAACATAAAATCCGTATCGTGACCTATATGAGTCTAATTATATTGGTTCCAATATTTTTTGTACCAAATCCTCACCGAATGGGATTGTCTGAAAATACGATACCCTATTATCTAGTTTATCTTAATCAAATAAGAAGTTTCGTCAAATAAAAATGAGAAGTGATTCGTATACAACAGTTTTTTATTATACACAACAATTTATACATTCTTGAGTTCTATAATACAATATTTTAAAGCACTAATTGTTATGTATAATAAAAAATTATTGTGTACAATCAGCTCTCAATAAAAATATGAAGCAGACTTTTGACTGGTTTATTCGACATTTTAAAGATAATATAAAGCCTAAATCAACCTTTTAATAAATTAATAATGATAATTCAGAGTGTATATTATTTTAACTGGAAATTGATGGGTTTTTCAAATATAATTTGTATAGTTTTTTTGACAAAATTTTGAATAAATAAACATCTTTGGGTCATGGGCTCGAAGTACATAAAGATTGTTTTTTTGTGGGCCTTTGAATCCTTTTTCTTACTTTGAGTTTATTAAAATATTTAAGTTTCCTTTTTAAAATCTTTTAGCTAGAAATTAAATGTAATATCTCCTCGTTTACACAATAAATTAATGTATAAAATTTAATTATTGGTCAAGATCAAAGTCTTAGATTTCAAATTCTTTAGTTGTGTTGAAGAAAGAAACATTAGTGCACTAAGCTTTTGAAAAGCACTACAAATAAAAGCATACAACTTAATAAATTATATTTTTAATATGACCCTTTATTTGTTTTCTTCAATAAAACTTTGTTTCATTTGATATTTATATTTTGACCGTAAATCATTGTTTTCAGCTAGGGTTAAACTGACGCAAGAATTAGGAATGCCATTTTATTTATGTATTTAATTAGCATAGCGTCTTACCGCTTTTTTCTATTAAATTATGTACACTGTTAACAGTGTAACAATTGGATAGGTATTTTCTTATTTGCATTGCCTTAAAAAGGAAAACCAAATATATAATGTTTTAATAGTAAAAAAATTAAAATACGATTTTTGTTAGCTCCGCTGTTGCAAAATTATATTCCTAATAATATCTTTTCAAATTACAAATTGATTTATTGTTTTCTAAAATGCAATAAATTAGTTTTTAATTCTGAAAATAATAGTAACCTTTTGACTATTCAGAATGATCATCTAAAAGGTTTCGAGCCAAATATGATATATTTAATAAATTTGCACAATGGGATTAATGGAACTTGTAAAAGCTAATAAACTCCTTATGTAATCAATCAGATGGACATTTTGTCGACGCATTTGAGTACAAAGCAGAGTTTATTATTGTATTAAAGTGAATTAGCTACTTATATTAGGTGAGCCGTCTAATCAACACCTTAAATACTAGAAAATGGGTCCATATATGTTTCTATATCTATAGAATAAGAGGGATTGGGACATATGACTCATGTAATCATACCATCGTGCACAATTTGAATATATATACAATTAAGGTTTTCAGTCACACGGTTGGATGAAACGGTGATTGTTCTTCAAATGGGGTATGAATTATGATTGATTGATAATCATGTCATGTGGTTGACTTTTCAAATTCCTGCTTTGAATTAAATATGATTGAGCAGAGATGTAGTTTTACGAAAATGATTGGACAAAAATTAACTTATTAAAATAAAACAATTTGATAGTAGAAAGAAACAAACTCATAACAAATAAATGAGGGGAATATACAGTACTTTTGATCCACCTTCAATGATCCATACTAATGTCGATCGATATTCTATAACTTATAATCGTAATTAGATATACTTAATATTCTATGCAGTATTATTGACGCGTTTTAAAATTAAATTATTCTTATAGTATGCATAGGGAATGAGTAATTAAATCCTGGGGAAGATACAAGAGGGTTCAAACTCCAATTATCCATACGACTTATCTTAGATAAAATACAAAAAACTATGTGCATATTTTATTCATCCTGACGTACCATCTAGCTTTGTAGATGATAAAATTTCAAGATGACCCAAAAAACAAGGGTTTCCCTTCTAAAATGTCAACAAAGGGTATGTGTCGCTATTATTGTTCTCGTTATCAAATCAAAATCTTCCCTGGCTCCGGTGTGTGTGTATATATATATATATATATATATATATATATATATATATATATATATATATATATATATATATATATATATATATATATATATATATATATATATAGTGAAGAAAAATGGGGAGAGACTGTCTAATCTAGGCTTTATAGCATGGTAACAAGCTTTCTTGATGGCTAATGATCAAGCTCGGAGGTAACCCTATATACACAATAGTACTGGTAAAGGCATAAACTGCAAAAGATAATATTTTATGATAATATGAATTAACATGGTGATCATAAGAAGCAAACTGGCACTCTAGGGTCACTAATAATAGAAACTAAATCAGTTCCTCATCATTCTAACAGCAAGTTCTTGAAGCTCACCCAAATCACTTGGGAAAGGTCTCTTTTTGTTATTGTAAATTTGTTGAAAAGATATATCATGGTAATGATCCTCTCTACCTTGTCTCTCTTGCATCCCCATTCCTTCACTGTTGTGATCAATGGATTCAAGTGAACTCTCGGGCGAAAGCGAAATGTTTCCATTCATAATACTCGCGAAATTTGGATAATTCTGATACGTAGCGGTTCCTGCAGGCCATTGAGTCTCTATGTTTCTTGAATCGAAGAAACCTTGGGCCATTTGAGCCTTCATTTGCATCAGCTGTGTTTGTAAGCAAGCCACCTACCATTCAATTACATATCAAATTAAATGAGAACAGAACCCATCGAATAAAATTACGACCTAAATCGATCGAGTACATATATGTGCATATATAAATACCTGTTGCTGCAAGGCAAAGATATGCGCAACACAACCATAAACTGGATCTTTGATCCTAGCTTGAGCTTCGTATGCAATGGTGACCACCGCCTCGCAGCGATCAGCAGCAGGCACATGAAGCAGTAATTTCGAAACATTGCTTGCACCAAACACTTTATGAATGGCAGCGAACCTTGCTGGACCTTGTTCGGAACAGAAATAGGGTGCAAAGATGCAGTCTGCGGCACACTTTCGTCTTAGAAATTTGCATGCACCACAAGGGGAGCCAGTGCCAGCAGCAGTTGCCATAATGAAACTGAAAGAGAGATCTAATGGGAAGACAAGTGAACGCAGAAATAGTGAAAATAAAGCGGGTCTGAAGGGTTTTTAAGGTAGGGAAAGGGAGACAAAGAAGATGTGCCTGTAGGGTTATAAAGTGACACTTACTAATTAAATGCTTATGCAATTTTGGGATCGATTATTTGATGGGGTACTATATAGTATCAACATTCTAAAAATAGACTTCATATATAGTAGTTTTTACAAAATTTAATTACTCGAAAAAACAAACAAGGAACAAATATCCTATTTGGTCTACTCATGGAACACAAATAGTTTAAACTTCAAACAATTACCTAAGTAAAGTTAGAGGGACTCTCAGGGTTTTCATCAATAACTCGGTATTATAGATATTTAATTTCAATTACTTTAGGCCAATCTTAGTATTCTAACTAATGAACATGTCAAATAACCTTTTTTTATAATATGGGTTAATCTCAAAAAATAAATAAATAAATAAATAAAACACTTTATATTTTTTTGTTTTTTTTGGATTAAACCTTAAATTTTAGAGTAAATTACACAAATGGTCCCTATGGTTTTGGGTAATTTGCATGTTTAGTCCCTAACTTATTTTTTTAACTCGGAAGGTCCCTACTATTTGTTTTTGTTACACTCTTGGTCCCTACTGTTTATTTTTGTTACGCGTTTGGTCCCTATCTTACCTAAAAATACTATTATTTAAATAGGGGAAAATGGTGGGGTAGGTAAGGTAAGGTGACGGAGTGGGGTTGGGAGTGTGTTGATTAAATAAATGAAAAAAATCAAGGGCAAAATAGTCTTTTTAGGTAAGACAGGGACCAAACGCGTAAGAAAAACAGATACTAGGAACCTTCCGAGTTAAAAAAATAAGTTAGGGATCAAACGTGCAAATTACACCAAACCATAGGGACCATTCGTGTAATAAAATTTTATTTTTCCCGAAAAAAACCTTATACTTTTTCATTTTTCCCTAATCTTCCCTTTTAGTCATTTTTTTTATAAAAAATGTAAATGTAAAGGTTTTTTTGAAAAAAAAAACTATAAAATTTGAGGTTTATTTGAAAGCATTTTGAAGGTTGAAGGTTTTTTTTTGGAAAAAAAATAAATACAAAGTTGATGGTTTTTCCGAATGACAGCTTGAACTACATCGAGAGACCAGTAGTTATTCTCGGTAGGAAGACGAAGGATCTAAGAAACAAGATGGTAGAGTTGGTGAAGGTATAATGGCAGCACCGCAAGGGCTCGAAATGGACATGGGAGCCGGAGGATGAGATGAGGGAGCACTACCCAGAGCTATTTCTAAACGCAGCAGACTTCGACGACGAGATCTAAAATAAGTGGGGGGGGTGGGGGGGATTTTTAACGCCCGGTTCCTGGTATGTATTTAATTCTCAGTTTATTCATTTTTGTGTAGAAACCCAACGAGTTGGAGGCCCCAAACTCGTCGAGTAGAGATGGATTTGGACACGGGTTGTGAAGTCTACTCGACGAGTCGAGGAGCCTCAACTCGACGAGTAGGACGGGTAGATTGAAACCCTAATTTTCAGGGTTTTTCACCCTATTTAAACACCTTAACCCCCATAAGTTAGCCTCATTTATAGCCTCCATTTTCCCAAACCCTAGCCACGAAACCCTAATCCACTTTTGAGAAGTTTTGAGCTATTTTTGTGTATCCTTTGGGATTTTGAAGAAGAAGCAAGGACATGTAGGAGGAGAGTAGATCCAGAAGTTGAGCTTCATTTTTGGTCCATCTAAGGTATAAAGCTCCTATCTTGTCTATAGAATGTTTAGATCTAGTTTTGGGATGTTTTCTCCATATTTTAGTCCAAGAATGTTGGTCTTTGGGACTTGGATGTCCCATGTGGGCAAACCTTTCAGATCTAGGGTCTTTAGGGGACTTCATGGCATAAAGGTGCCAACTTTACGACCATGGAAGTCCCATGCAACTTGTGGACCATCTTTTTGGCCTTTTGAGCCAAGTAGTCTATGCATGCAAGTAAAGATAGGAACTTTACGTAGCCAAACTGTCCCTAGAGTCCATATCTATGATCCTATGGCTTAACTTGAAGTTTTGATGGTTTTTAAAGTTGTAACTAAGCCATTTTGAGCTAGGGTTAGGGCTCATTTCCTCTAAGATGGGTCTTAATGGGTAAAGATAGAAACTTTATCCTCTTATATGTGTTTTCGACTCAGATTTGGAATATGGGACTTAGACTCGAAGAATAAGGGCTTAACACATTAAGAAAGCTTATCAAACTGAAGAACTTGACGAGTTCATAGAGGAACTTTGTAGCACTTGGTTCTTGGTACGTATTCTTTGTAATTAACTCTTTAAATATTTGCATTTTTGGCCTTGGACTCGGCGAGTTGAAGGACCAACTCGCCGAGTAGAAGCGGGATAAGACGCGGGACTTAAGTGATTGACTCGGCGAGTTGGGTCCCGGACACGGCGAGTAGGTATTGTTCGGACAAAAACCCTAATCTGAGGGTTTTCACCCTATTTAAACAATGTTATGACGGCCATATTGTCCCTTATTCTCCCCAAAACACTTCTCATTGAAACCCTAGCCGTTTGTGCTTTGTTGAGGCCATCTTTGGTGTTCTTGTGTGGTTCTCAAGCTTGGAAGGAAGGAAGGAGCTTGGAACTTGAGTTGGGACCAGTAGATCCAGGGATTTTACTTCATTTTCAGCAGCTTCAAGGTATAATTCACCTGTCTTGACTCATCTATGTGTTTATTCATCTTTAACTTCGGATCTCTTTGGATTTCTAAGTCATATTTCGGATTTGGAAGTGTTGAGTGGGTTTTGACTTTAAATATGGACTTTAAGAGGGATCTCATGGCATAAAGGTGCCAACTTTAGGGCCATGAGAGCCCCATGCACATTGTAGGACACTTCATATGAATTTTTGAGCTAAAAACCCCATGCATGTGCATCAAGTTTGGAACTTTACGTATAAAGTGAACATTAGGAGGCCAAATCTATGGTTTTGGTGTGTTAGATCTCATTTAAATTGACTGCATGGAGTTGGTCAAGATTGGACTCGGCGAGTCCGTTCTTGGGACTCAGCGAGTCCAAGGCATAAAGTTCCATATCTGTTAAGGGTCTAAATAACTTAGTTGGGTGTTAGAAGGACTGTAGAAGGTCAGAAAGGGTGACCCAATGTTCTGGACTAAGCCATTGTTCGGGATATTCATGGGACTCGGTGAGTGCATGAGCAGACTCAGCGAGTCCAAGGCAATCTTCTTGTGGATGAAGATGAACTCGACGAGTTGTTCATACAACTCGGTGAGTCAAGGACTGCACCTGTTTAACAGTTATAGGTGAACTCGGCGAGTTGGATGAAGATTCAGCCGGTGTCCATTTAGAAGGAAAACTCGTCGAGTCATCGCCTAACTCGACGAGTAGAGACGAGTGTAAGAACAAATGGAAGGATAGGGACTCGACGAGTTGGCGAGCCAACTCGGCGAGTCAGGTCAACTAGTAGTTGACTTTGATTTTGACTTGGTCGGGGGTAAAATGGTCATTTTACCCTAAGGACAGTTAGCAGTATTTGATGGACTGTTTTGTGGGAATTACAGCCCGAGGATTTCCAGAGCAGCGGCAGTAGATAGACATTCACGTGCAGATCAGCAGCTACTTCGAGGTGAGTTACCTTCTAGTAGCGGTGGGTCTACGGCCACAATGTCGGCCCATTAGTAGGAGTTGTATGATTAGATGATTTTCTATGTGATATTCATCTAGGTTTGCTACTACCTGATATGTTACGTGCTAGTATGATATGATGCTATGTACTAGTGATAGTAGGGGAGATAGTCCCCAATATCCGGTGGAGAGGATCGAAGGGGAGACCAGCACCCAGATATTCTAGTCAGCATCCGGTCGAGAGGACCGAAAGGGAGGCCAGCACCCAGATATGCTAGCCAGTATCTGGTCGAGAGGACCGAAGGGGTAGGTCGGGCACCTAGATATGCCTGACAATATATGTATGTTATATGGTTGTATGGTATGTGGTTCGATGGGGGAACTCACTAAGCTTCGTGCTTACAGTTTTTAGTTTTGGTTTCAGGTACCTCTTCATCGAATGGGAAGGAGCTGGCGCGGTAGCGGCACTTCATACACACACACTGTTTTCCACTTTACGAACTTGTTCTGGGATTTGTACTCTGATATTTGGTTGTTTTCATATTTTGGTTTCAGACACGATGAATGTTATGAAATGTCTTGACCAGACAATGTTTTATTTACAAATGTTTTCCAAAGTATTGATTTATAAACAATTTTTTTGGACGTGAAATTTTGGGTTGTTACAAACTCGACGAGTTGAGTCGAAATGCCCTGATTCTGTAAAAGGAAGGGCTCGACGAGTTGGGTGGGAAAGTCCTAATTCTGTGGATAGGAGGAACTCAAATATTTCATGAAAGAATTCGATAAGTTGGATCGCGATTTCACGTTTTATGATTTATGGAACTCGGCGAGTTGATTCAACCTAGAATGTTGACTGTGACCAGGGCGTTGACCTTGACTTTGACTTTGATCAAATTTGACCCTTAAGGGGTTATGAGTATGAAAGGGTAACTAAAATAAATCTTTTATGTATAGGAGTTTGAGTTGGGTGGATTGTCAGAGCCGAGGATTTCCAGCTACTTTACAGCATTTGATGTGAGCTACCTTCCAGTAGAAGTGTGTAGAAGGCACCAATATCGGTCCACTAGTAGTTGATTATAGTTGAGATGATTGTCTTGGTGATCATTTTCTGGTATGCCACTATCTATTATGCTTTATTTGCTAGTATGCTATGATAATATGTGATAGTGGTAGGAGGGGTAGGATAGACTCAGTTTCCGGTTGAAAGAGACCGAAAGGGTAGTATGTGACTTATGTGTTTATGTACTAGAATGATATGTGGTAATGGTACAGGTGAAATGGTCCCCGGTTACCGGTTGAAAGCGACTGAAAGGGTAGGCTAGCACCCAAATATGCTAGGCAGTTACCGATTGAAAGAGACTGAAGGGGCATGTCAACACCCTGATATGCTAGGTAGTTACCGGTTGAAAGATATTGAAGGGGTGGTTCAGCACCCTGATATGCTAGGCATTTACAAGTTGAAAGAGACCGAATGGGTAGGCCAGCAC